TTCAAATAGCTTGAAAAAGCGCCGTGCGCGTTTTACTTTCACTTTCAAATTAGCGGCAATTCGGCTTTGATTCAATTCAAGCAACAACGTCAAACTCATAACTTTTATTAACAAAACGAATAAAAATACACCATATAGGCCTATACCTAATAAAATAACAAATTACTTAGGCTACACAAAGTTTAAATAGGTATATAAAACTGAAAATCAGCAAACACTGTGGAACCAAATAAATAAGAAACATAGAACGTTTATTAGCAAAACGAATAAGAAAGCTTGGAGGCACGGCATATGCACCTTGATGTAAAATAAAATAAATAAAATACACAAAGTTTAAATAAAGTAATCAGCAAGCACTGTCAAAAACTTCCAGTCAATAGGCTTTTCAAATTCTAAAATATTGCCAAACAGGCGCCTTTGCATTTCCTTTCTAAACAATCTTCTGCCATCGTCTTGTCTTTCTCACCTCACTCTTGTCAGTCAGCTCGACTCACTCTCCTCACGGTATAAATAAAATCTGACTCCTGCTCCTTGGTGCACTGTCATTCACGCATGCTTCGGCACGCTACATTGAGCGTTTAGTTTTTAAAAGTGTCTGTCCTCTAACTGAACTAGGCTAAATTATTTTTGTTTCTATAAAAAAAATCAAAACGACGGTGGGGGGCGGTGCCGCGGTAGGCAAATGATGTAAACGGTGTTGCGGCTTAACACCGGTATAACCGAAAACACGGTCTATCGCAGCAAGCCTAATTGGGACACCCCCTTCTTTAGAACAGAAAAAGGCACTTCCAAAACTGTGGCAATAAAGATGGAAACATAATTCATGTATTTCAAAATTGTATTTCCATCTCTGTTGCAACAGTTTTGGAAGTGTCTAAAATGACTGTACCCATATGTACAAGTCATTGGTGTTTGGTGACGAGTTTTTGGCTCAAGGTCTGCATTTAAAGCAATTCATTTAAATTTAAATCAATAATTTCTTTTTGAACCTTGCCTGTCCAAACTGTTGCTATAAAATTAAAGCACGCAATTACCTAGAGTATCATTATATGCTTAAACATTAAGATTTGTACTCATGAAAATGACTAAAGTAGTCAATCCTGTTCATTAGAAGGGGGTGTCCCAATTCTTCTGGCAATATCGTGTTTATATATTAAATCTTAAAATTATTATGAATTTTTAAAAAAAAATCTTACATATTAGGGCTGTGCGATTTGGGGGAAAATATCAAATTGCGATTTTTTTTTGACCAAGATTGAGATGGCGATTTTAAATTTGCAAAGTCAAGCTTCAGCTCAATATTGTCAATAATGTGCAGCACAGTATGGGTATCATTACCCTGCTGAAAGAAAAAAATAGAAATCATCACAGAAATTCTTTTAGTTTCCATTAAACCATTACAAAATTCCTTTTTGTTTTGGGTATTATTCCAATAGGAATTACTGTTGTTCCATTGGTTGCCATCTGCCAGATTACATCCCACCAATAGAATCCATCAAATAGACACCATTATAGTTTACATTAAAACCAAACAAATTCCCATTATAACCCTGAAATCCATTACATTTGTTATTGTGTTTTGGGGAGGGGTTCTATTGTTTAGTTTTTTTCAGCAGGCAAGATTATAATGGTATAACTACTTTTACAGAATTAACTTAATTACTGAATTTCACAGAAAATATTTGTTTATTTTTTATAAATAAAGAACTGTATTTCTTAAGTCAATTATTAAAGTATTACATATGTTACATAGGCTGATTTATTCATTTTAAGTATTTGGGATTTTAAGAACAAGTGGAAAATGTGCTGAATGTTTCATTTCATCCAAGTGAAATTAGCAAGCAGTTAGACTGAATTTACATTCGTTTTAAACGCGGAGCCAGGCGCGAGTCGACACAGGTTGCGCCAAGCCTCATCCATACTGCCAGATGCGCTCGTGAAGACTTGCGGTGCGGAGCCGGGTGCGAGTATAAACGAGCATTACGAGACAGGCTGCGTGAGTGCGGCAAGCGTGAACAGCTTGTCCGTGACGCGGGATTCGCGCCGCGTGGGGCAGAGAGGAGCGAGTATGAGAAGCATTCACAGACACAGGCTGTGTGTGCGCTCTTCTGAATTGGGAATAGCCAACATGCATTATAAACTTATTTCAAATTAATCTGTTGGGGAGATAAAATGTGTAAGATAACGTTCACGTACTAACAAAAACATCTAAGAATGTATCTTTTATTCTCCAGTACTGAAAACAGAACCGATAAGGGAGCTTTTGATATGCGCTGGAGACGCAGCTCTTGGAAATTACCTTTTTTGTTCGTTGTCTGTCATTTCGAAGCTTAAGTTGCATACGGTTTTCTTTAGTTTTAATTTGCCTAACTATCGATCTGACCCAGTAGACGCCATAATCCCACTCTGTCTCTCTCCCGCTTTCCGGGTTTTTTTTTTTTTAATGGTGGGTGTTTACGCAGTTGGCTAGAGCAGTGCTGATTGGGGAGAACGGAGGTGCGCTCACTCTTGCCCAGGGCAAGTAAGATTGCAACTCATGGCTGGCAGTCATGCATATGCTCTGGAACAGAGTAATATCGCGTCCACATCGCAGGCTTTGCGATTAGGAAATCGCAACGTCTCAAATCGCGATTTCGATTCGATTTCGATTAATCGCACAGCCCTATTACATATTGTATTGAGCACTAATTTTCTTGAGCACTAAATCAGCATTATTAGAATGATGATGTGACACTGAAGACTGGAGTAATGGCTCCTGAAAAAAATTCAGCTTTACCATCACAAGAACATAAAAAAAAAAAATGTATTAAAATAGAAAGCAGTTATTGTAAATTGATATAAAATTTCACAATATAAAATGTGTACAACACATCACACCACCGACAATAGAATTTCATGTGAACTATGCTTAATCCATGTAAGCCTAGTCTGTGAGTCAAAGCAAACATCCTGGCCTTTTCAGCACTGCCATTGTGTAATGAACTGCACTTCACATTGATGATTCATTAGCGTCAGTGAGTGTCCAGTGTCTGTCCATGTGATGAGAGCCTTACTCAAATGAGGCTCCAGGTTTGACTGAGCAGATGTGTGGTTTCCTGGACAGGATAAAAAGAAAGGTCTTAGTCCCTCTACCACACTAACAGAAAGCATCATGTGAGCAGCTCTTTCTGAGGGCATCATAAAGACCCAGATTCCCTCAAGCTCTCTATGAAACAGTGTGTATTAATAGCTGTGCTCGGGTCAGATGGGGCCGTTCATGATTTCAAAGGCATGTCTGATGGCAGTATGGACACTCACACTTACCTTTCGCTCTGTTCATTGATAATTGATCAGTTATTGATTATTGTTAATGTGACATTAAAAAAATGTTTGCACACTCTGTTTCCTAAATGGCAGTGGCTCTTTAAGCAAATCCTATTGTGTTTAACCTGCATTTATTTATTTATTTTTGTGGTAGTGGCGAGGATTCTCTCGATGGCCTTATGAGAGACAGATGTCCCCTGACCCCTTCGCTGTCCCCACGGAAACGGACCACCAGCCAAAGCAAAACGGAGCCTCCACTTCTGAGGACGAATAAGAGGACAATCTACACCGCAGGACGTCCACCCTGGTACAATGTTACTGGGACCACCTTTAAAGAAGCTTTTGTAATAGGTACGACATATATGCATACCTGCTATCTAGCAGCAGACTAATACAGAATAAATGATTTTATTATACGTTTGCAGAATATTGACATGGCTTTCTCTAAATTTGAGGCATGAACTACGCACTACTGTTCAAAAGTTTGGGGTCAGTAAGATTTTATAAAAATTTTTTTTTTTTTTTTTTTAAATAAGTAGTCTCTTATGATCACCATGGCTGCAGTTAATTAATTATAAAATACTGTAAAAACGGTAATATTAGTGGAATATCATTACAATTTAAAATAACTGTTTTCTGTTTTAATATATTTTAAAATGTAATTTATTCCTGTGATGGCAAAGCTAAATTACTCCAGTCTTCGGTGTAACATTATCCTTAATAAATCATTCTAATATACTTATAATAATGTGCATTTCATATTATAAATATTGAAAACATTTGTACTGCTTTTTGTGGAAAATGTGTTATTTTTTGATGAATAGAAAGTAGAAACATTTGATTTGTAAAATTACTGTCACTTTTGTTTCATTTATTATGTCCTTGCTGAATAAAAGTATAAATTTCTTGAAAAAAAAAAAATCATAGTGACCCCAAACTTTGAACAGTAGTTTATATATCTTAAAGCGAGGTTTAAATCTTTTGTGAAACTTTTTGTATTGAATGCCTGAAGGCTTACACTTTTGTGGTGTGTGAGAACATGAGCTCTGTCAGGACTGTGCTCTGAGGTCATTAGTATGCAATCCATTGCTCACAAAGAGCCTGTCATATGGGTTACAATTTCACACTTGGATGTGCTCCAGTCAATTATTCCTGTAAAAAAAAAAAAAGTGTGGGGTGGCTGTCGTCCCTGCTCGCTCAGTCAGAGAGAAACTAATAAATCCACCCAAGTGGAATGATCTTCCTTTAACAAAGGTCAGAGGAACAGGGAGGCGAGAGAGGACGTAACAACACTGAAGCAGTTTTAAGTAACTTTAGTCCATATAGCAACAAGAAGCTTTATCGTTGTTCCCATTGGTGGTGAATCTTATTTTATATAGTGTTTTCTTAATGGCCTTTTATTCTGGAAACCTATGTGATACTTAAAACTTTAGTATCTGAAAATGTAGTGGTCAGCATAATGTCTCACATGACTGGCTTTACAGTCAGACGAGTTGTATAATCTGTTTTTCTTGTCTGATGAGTAGACTTTTTTTTATTTTTTTGATATATCCCTTATTACTTTTAAGGTTGAAAAGAATTTATTAACCTTATATATGAGTTTTATTTATTATAATATAATATTGAGAGTGGCTCTGAAGCAATATTGTAAATGGCAATGAATCTGTAACCGTATTATTTTTTTTCCATATATTTTTGGGGATTTACTTAACAGCCACTTTTTAATGAAAACGTTACCTTGATAAAATTCATGACTAAATTAAAGTTTGTTAATTATGTCTGTCTGTCTGTGTCATAATTAATGCATTGAATATTGCCAATTTTCCAATGCTTTTTGTGGGTATTTTCTGATTGAACAGATTCTGGTAATTTATTACATGATCTTGATATATGATATATTGTATTATATAATATATTATATTATATTATTATATTATATTATATTATATATTATTATATATTATATTATATTATTATATTAATATACACTACCGTTCAACATAAAGCAATAAGCCCCAAGAATGATAATTATTTATAAGAATTTACAACAGCTAAGGGGGTTTTAGGCACTCCGCATCGCGTCGTGCCTAACAACGCCCCTTAGCTGTTATAAATTCACTGTAAACCACGGC